AAACAAAAGCCTGAGAACTCACCTCTGTGTCAGCCTTTGAGTCCTGAGGTACCCAGCTCTTGTATGCCGCCTTCTCTTCTCTCCTTTCAGAGACTTCTTATTTTTGTTTAAACACACACACACACTCTCCATAATTTTTCAGTTTTAATTAGTGGGAGGAATGGGGAAAGATACATCCTATTACATTTTCCTGAAAGTAGAAGTCCTATTTTCTCAGTTTTATGTAGTCTTCATGTACTTCACATTAAGCAGTTTCAGAACATATCAGAGCTTTGAGATAAGTTTTCTAGAAAATTCTAAATTCCTTTAGAATGTTTGTAATGAAAATGCTGAATTTTTTCTTGATGACTCATGCTCTAGTTAATATTTGAACTAAAAAGTAGTGCTGGCTCCTTGGATTAAATACAAATTTCAGAATGGTAGAAACAACTCTGGTTTACAAGTTCTATATTTCAGGGCCTCTAGTTCTGGCACCTTGGTTCTGGTTCAAAGTCCTGCACCACACAGTTGTGTGACCATGGGCAGATCTCCTGGCACTTCAGTGTTCTCAGCTAAATTAAGGGTGTTGGACTTATTAGAGAGTCTCTAAGTTTCCTTCTGGCTCTAACATTTTTATTTTCTTTTCATGAGTTCTTTTACTTTTTCACCTCCAGACTCCCACTGGAATAGACTTGAATTATACATTTCTAGACTTGAAATATATTGGTTAAGCCAAGTAACTCATAATTAGACAGGACAAATAAAGACAACTTTCAGTTATTAAATGTTTACTGTGTTCCAGGCAAGATAGTAAATACTTTACCAATACCAAATTATTCAGTCCTCAAAATAATTAATCAAAGTAGAGTTCACATCCATTTTATAGATGAGAAAACTGAAACTCAGACAGGTGAAGAAACCTGTAAGATATTTTGATTTATTTGACCTAGGAGCTGATGCTCTCAACCACTTACATGTACTTTTCTTTTTTGACATCTTCACATGAAACCAATTAGTTTGATAGAAATGGGATCTTGTAGCAAAGGTTCTAGGTAGTTAAGAGAGAAATTTTATTTCTAGTTTCTCCGATCACTTTTTTCTGCTTGGATTTTTGTTTAACTAATACAGGAAACATACATATATAGCTAGTTTTCTTCTGTGTATTTATTATCCAACACATTTCTGTATCAGATATAGGAAGCATCATTACCCTTGGGAGGTAAAGGGATAAAGAGTGTCTTACTCATCTAGTGCTGCTTTAAGAGAAATTTATTTTCTCACATTTAGGCAGCTAGAACTCCAAATTCAGGGTGTCAGCTCTGGGGAAAGGCTTTCCTTCTCTTGTCAGCTCTGAGGAAATCTCCTTGTCCCCTTTCAACATATGTTGGCTCAACATTCCTTGAAAATCTCCATGTGTCTTAGCATCACTCTTTCCCTGGGTCTAGAAAGTTCTCAGCACAGGGACCCCAGGTCCAAAGGATTCACTCTGCTCTCTGCTCTTCTTAGTGGTGGTGAGGTCCCTCCCCTCTCTGCATGATTCTCTCTTCTTTTATCTCTTGCAAGATAAAAGGTGAGTCAAGCAAGGTGTGACTTGAGTGAGGGTATGACTTGAGTAATACCCTCTTGTCTGTGACTCAAGATACACCCCACCCTGATCCTGCCTCACTAATATATAAAAACACAAAAAAGCAAAGTTACTGCCATCCAGTTGATTCTAACTCACAGTGACCTCCATTGGGTCTGTAAAGCAGTGAATCTTTACAGGAGTGCCCCATCTTCCTTCCATGGAGTGGTTGGTGGGTTTGAACCGCCAACCTTCTGATTGGCAATCAAATGCCTTGAGGACTGTGCGACCAGAGCTCGTTTACTAATATACAGAGATTGGAATTACATAACATTGCAAAATGGAAGATAAATACATCAGATCAGAAAATGGAAGAAAACCACACAACACTCGGGATGATAGCCTAGCTGACATAAATATTTTAGGAGACACAATTCAATATATGACACAGAGGATTTTAGACTTTCATTCCTTAAGAACAAAAATGTACTTACTATATTTATGCTGTTCCAGGAATTAGAATAAATACATTAGCTTTATGTGTAAATTTTACTGACTTATGGAGAATTGATAAGAAACCATTTGTAAGACTATTTGAAATAAGCAAAAGGTGGAGGTCAAGAAGAAATGGGGCAAAAAAAAAAAAAAAACTAAGTAAAGAAATAGAGGAAACATAAGAACAGTGAATAATGCCAAATTTAAAAACATACAAAAAAGCCCTTTAGCATAATACTAGATCCTAAAAATATTTCATATAAAAAAGTTTGGCTTTAAGTAAATAAATGAGCATGAATTATAGAGTGAATTCTTGAATACTCTGCAATTTGTTGAGATCTTATGTTTTTGAGATTCAAACTTGTGTTGTCAAAATATCATCTCAATTGAAATTGATTCTCTAAGTTAAGATAGGTGCTTGGTGTCTATTTACATGGCAAAACCCCCTGAAGTACTTATAATTTTATGAGTAATACGGTAAGGGGTGGAGTTTAACAATACGAGAAACTACATAAATCCTTATTTTACCCTTTTCTTTGTGAAGTGTCCCTAACTTTTCACTGGTTTACCATGAGATTTTCTATTTCAGTCCTCAGGGACATTATTCAAATTTCACATTACTGTGTGTTCCCAGAATTACCAAGAGAATTAATGGTGATGCAAACAGATGTTGCAACATTTCTTTGCCTTTAGGAGGCTCTATGATCTTGTTTTGAGATCAGGATGAGCTTTCCTAGAAAAATAATTTTATCTTCATAAAGTTACCATGATTTTGGTAGATATGGTCTCCTGCTCAGGAGTTTTTGTCATGATCCATTGTGCAAAGACGAGGCTCTAGTGTATGCAAATGTGCAACTTTCAAAATACCCGTTTTCGTTTTTATTGAAACCCTGCTTCGAACAAAATTATAAGTTCAATATATAAAAACTGACTCTGGATGAGGTGTGGGGTGGAAGTGGGAATAGATGTGCAGTGCTCTTCCTTGGTCACCTCATTCACCCATAAAGTATTTTCTGTTAAACACCTTGATTCTGGGCAGCACAATTTGAAAACTCATCACTGAGAAATAAAGGGGGCCAACTTAGGAGTCCAAAGACCTGAACTACATACAGTCCTAGTCCTGCTATTCACAAGTTCTATTACTGAACTTCTCTGGGTCCAAATTTTCACATCTGTGAAATACAATCAAACTAGGTCTCTTTCAGCTCTTTGAGGAAACCATTATTAACTATATGTAAATCATAAAACTTCTATGCTATAGTTTTCTATCTTCAAAATAAAATGTTTACTGAACGGTAACATCTGCATGCTACCTCAAAGTTCTAAGTATTGGGAGAATTTTTTTTCACTTTAAAAATTTAAGTGAGTTCTTAGAAAATTGCAATACAAATGTAAATATGAAATTGTCTTGTTCTAAGCAACTTTCAATATTTCTCTTCCTCATCTCATTTCAAATAACCTTTGCTTGAATCAGTGATATTTCATTGATTCATTCAACAAACATATCGAGTGCCCACTGTGTGAAAGGTGCTGAGATAGGTATTAGAGATAGAAAAGATGGGTAAAGAATGGCCACTGCTTCATAAGCATTCATATTCTCTCCCCCACTTACTTGTTGTTGTTGTTGTTATGTGCCATCGAGTCATACCTGACTCATAGCGACCCCTCCTTGGGTTTCCGAGGCAGTATCACTACGGAAGTAGGATTGCCCAACCTTCCTTCCGAGGAGTGGCTGGCCCCCACTTACTACATACACTAAGGTAATGTGTTAACAATATACGCTCTTCAATGGAAAGTTATTGATTGTTTGTGATGCTACGTTCTTTCTAAATGATAGGGATGGTGCTGCAAAGGGACATTTAAAAACCAGATGAAAAGTGATCCTTAGAAAGAACTGTGTATTTTAAAACCAGGGCATTGTTTTGAAGCAGAATGCCTTTGATGTAGTTGAGATTATCAGAGCATTCACTTTTATAGAGTATTAAAGTCTTCACTTTTCTAAGAAGCAGAGTCTCTTAAAATATTAAGGTTCCATCGTCTAGAACACAACCTTACTGAAGCCTCCCAGTTCACCTGAATGATTGTGGATTTCCAGTGATTTCTTGAGTTGGATTGAGGCTAAGAAAGGGAAAAGTTGAATTCAATTGCCAAAAGAGGCCTTTGGGGATTTAGAAAGGAATTGTGAAAGGTCCACTCCCTCTAGACTCAAACCCCAATTCCCTCACATTGATACAAGCAACAGCCTTTGGACACATCTGTTTGTTATTCAATAGGTCCCCCAGCTCAACCCACAAATGCACACCACTCTCTGAGAGACCAAGACTCTCCCCAAGGTGGAGCTGACGTCCACACATTACTCTAGACATGGTACCACTCCCCATAGACACACTCAACTTTTGCCTCGCGTTCAAGACCCACCACCATCACCCATCCCAACACCATCTTCCAGGAACTGGCCTCTCCCCACTTGTCCCCGCCCCTCTCTTGAGAGCACCCAATGGGTGGAGTCGGGGCCGCGGTGGGAGGGGCCTGAGGCGGGCCCATTTAAAGAAAGGCAGAGGGCGAAAGAAGGCAAGAGAGAAGAAAGAGAAACCGGGGGGACGAGGCGCCGTCCAATGACAAAGCCCAGGGGTGGGCGCCGGCCGCCATCTTGTACCGGGCGGCAGGATATTCACTCGCGTCCTCCGCCCTCGGAGGGGGAGGGGCGGCGGCGGAGGCGAGAAAAGTAGCGAGAGACGCGCCGCCGCCGCGGAGCCGGACGCAGGCGGGGGCGGCGGCGGCAGGAC